AATTAATGGCTCCAATCTTGTGAGAAATCGCCATTAGCAGGGGAAGAAGTACTTGGGAACTGGATAGAAGTGAGGTTAAGGGACTGAGCAAAGAGGAAGTTCAAACCATTAAAGAAGATAAACGCTAAGTCTAGTTTTTTCAAGACTTGATTTAACTGCCCCATTCCTACCACTTTCCCCAACTCCTCCAACCCTAAACAATGCAGAAGTTATACTGTATTATGGTTTCAGGTCTTTTCTTCTCTGGGTTTTACATGTTCTTTAACACAGGCAGTAATTATATGCCATAATTCCAACACTGACAGAATTCCATTTCTCTCACATAATTGCATGAATGCGAACTCTCTATAATTACTGTGTTTAATTAGAAAATGAGATGCAACTAATTAGGACAGGTGATAAAAACAACTGTGAACATTTCTTTCAAATTTACCTTTATCATAAAATTCACTCAGATTAAGCCCTAGTGAGCCATAGAAGCTTTGTATAAATGCCACTGGCACCAGACTAAATGAACATTATTACCAGAGTGAATTATATATGTGGAAGACTTAGAATAAGAACAACACCATCTTTCTTATAAACTTAAGCTTAGTTGATGTCTTTGGTCAGTTTAATTTGGAAATTTAAATTATGGGTTACACAGTTAATGTTTAATGTGGACTTCAAAAAAATATTTTCAATGTGCAATTCTCTTTTTAAAAGTAATCTTACCTGGAAGCCAAAACACAAACAGATAAAAGCAGAGTTGTTCTAATGGAAAATGTTTAGGGCAGATGAGTTGCCACCCCTTACCCCACAGAATCAATAGGCAGGGAGGGGAAGATAAGAGCCCTTGCAAAGCACAGGTGTCTTTCTAGAAGTGTGGGCATGTGAAGGGAAACCTTCTGGCCCTGCAGATCTTTGAAAGAGTAGATAGGTCTTGAGACTAAGCCACATTTAGGAAGACGGGCTATACAGATGAGTTCTTCTCTTTTAACAGAGTTACAAGAAGAGAGGGTACCCTGCGATGGAAAGGTAAAAAAGAAAGTTGGAACCAGCAAGGATACGGATGGTTGTTAAGTGGCCCGCACACTGGCAAACAGGTCTTGCTAAATGCAGCTGAGCTGTTACTAAGGTAGTCTCTGCCCCTTGGTTACCACTCCCATTTTCAGTACACAGTATTACTTTTGCAAAAGCCTAGTAAGGCAAGACGTTTGCGAAGACTAGCAGAAGGGCTTGCGGGTTTATGGTCTGGGTGGACTGACGTGGAAAGGAACAGCACGTGTGGGGCTAAGAGATGGCCAAAAACGGGACTCATTCGATTGTTAGGACAATTTGTGGAGTAAGTGTCAAGTGCCTAGAACAGCATCCTGCCCATTTATCATGGCTGATATATGATTGTTCCATAAGTAAATAAATAAATTAATTCTGTAATAAAGCCCCTGCGGTGAGCTCAGCTAACTTGGCCAAGCAGAGGAACAGAATCCTTGGAGTCAGTACCAAGGGCAGTAGCAGTGTCATCCAGAGTTCTACAACGAGATTCATTTATTATGCCAACTCAGAGGCCCAAGATTATCATCTCATCAATGATAAATACTAAGAATACTTTCATATTTCAATCCAGATGATTTAGTATAAATACTTGGAACATAGTAGAAATCCAGTGAGAAATTCCTCAACGAAGAAGTAGATGGATAGATATTTTGTCTTCTGAAAACCTGTATATTAATTTTTAAAAAATTTAAATTGGAGTCTGGATGACAAAATTAAATATTGGGGAGCATTTAAATTATTTTAATTTATAGCATTGCTAGGATTTTTTTTTAAGATTTTACTTATTTTGGTGCTCCTGGGTGGCTCAGTCACTTTAAGTGTCTGCCTTCGGCTCAGATCATGATCCCAGGGCCCTGAGTTTGAGTGCTGCATAGGGCTCCCTGCTTCTCGGGGAGCTTGCTTCTCCCTCTGCCCCTCCCGCCTGCTCATGCACACTCTCTGTCTCTGTCTCTCTCACAAAAATAAAAATCTTTTTTTAAAAATATATATTTTTTTTAATTTAGAGAGAGTCTGTGCACTTGAGCAGGGTGGTGGGGGGGGGAAGGGCGGAGGAAGAAGAGAGAATCTCAAGCAGAGTCCTTGCTGAGCATGGAGCCCTATGCAGGATTCAATCTCGCAACCCTCAGATCATGACTTGAGCTAAAATCAAAAGAGTCGGACACCTACCTGGCACCTAAGTCGGACTCTATCCTCACATGACTAGGATATTTTTTTTACCATCATAATGTCTCTAGTTCCAAAGGAATTCTTGTAGTCTTAGGAGTACCCACTGGCCTTGCTCATGACAATAAACTCACCCATGGCTCTGCCCAAACCAGCCGCAATGTTTATCGTTAATCTAGAAGTGGATATTTTAATGCAAACTTATCTCCGCAGATAGGGTTTGCATACAGTAGGTCATAAGCAATAGTTCTGGATACAAAGGACAGCAGACAGACTCTATGGTTCTACCTTCAAGATAGATCCACAATCCAACCACTTATACCATTTCCACTAGCAGCACACTGGCCCAGCCACCGTTCACTGTCATCAGAATTACTGTCATGGTCTCCTAACTGAGTTCCCAGTTCCACTTCAGCCCCATGGCATCTTCTCTCAATACAGCAGCCAGAGTAGCTTGTTAAAATACAATCACACTGTGACCCTCCTCTGCTTAAAATATCTGTATTAGTTGGCATTCCATCGGGAAAGCCAGAAACCACCCTTCTGGGGTATTTCAAAGAGAGGGAATATGTATCAGAGGGAACTGATTACAGAGATTAGTAACTACAGCAATCCACCACCACCGCTAGGCTGGAGGAACGTTCCACCGAACCTACAGGCAGAGCCGCTGATGTGACTAAGCTGGAAGTGAGCTTCCCGAGCTAGCATTCCCACCTGCCAGCTGCTCATGGGAACGGCTGTCAGGAGCCCCCTCAGAAAGAGAAGGGAGGCGCTTCCTTCCTACCGTCTTCCAGCTCTGCCAGTACCACCTGTTGGCAGAACTTAACAGGAAGCCAGCAGGAGAGATTTCTGGGAAGTGGAGTTTGCAGGTCTCCTGCCCCAGCAGTAAGAGCAGGGTATGGAAGGAGAGGGTATGCGGTTGACGGAAAACAGACCCTATCCAGAGCAGCACTTGACTCAGTAAAACCCAAGTTCTTACAAAGGCTCTGAAGGAAGCCGCCCTCTCATGCCAACACACCCGTGCCTTCCTTTCTGACCTCATTTCCTGACACTTGTCATCTTATTCCTTGCGCTCCAGCCACACTCATTTCTTTGCTGCTCTCCAAACACATCAGGCTCTCCTTCCTATGAGGCTAGCACTTGCTCTTTCTGCTGTCTGGAATAATCTTACCCCACATACTTTCACAACTCACTCCTCATCTCCTTTAGGCCTTTATTTAAAGGAAACCTCTCAGTGATGCTTCTCTGAAAACTAATCGAAGATTGCAACCCTCCCAACTCTCTATCCCCCTTATTATTTTTCATGAAAGCCTTTATCTTCTTCTAACACTCCAAACACCTATACATTATATATGTGCATACAATTATATATTTTAATTCTCTGTTGCATACTTTCCAGTTGTCTCTGAATATATACATCATATATTAAATACATGTTTTCAGTTGTCAGCATCTCCCCACCAAAATGGAAGCTCTATGGGGGTGAGGATTTTGTCTGTTTTGTCTACTGATACATCCCCAAGGCTCAATAAATACCTGTTGTCTGAACAAACAGATGTAATTCTTAGTGGATGTATTTATTATGGGATGAAAAGGATTAAAGTTTCCGGAAAGCATGAAAGAAGGAAAAGAAGCCAACATTGCTTACACTTCTTCCTCTGGGAAGCCCCTCAAACCCCACTCAGGCTATATGAGATGTCCCTTCTCTGCGCTTCAAACGCTCCTTGTAATTCCCGTCCCAGAACACGTCACACAACACTGTAATTATCCGTTCGTAGATCTATCTCTCCTCCACTGAAACTGTAAGCCCCATGCCCTACCGAAGGGATGGTGCCCATATGGGCAAGAGTGCACATACAGCAGGTGGGGCTCAAATTATTTATCATCGAATGTTCCTGTCAAAAAAGAGAAGAATATACATCGAGATTTCCTGTTATCATTCCTTCCTCTGGTACTCCGGAAGAAGAGAAGTGCCCAAAGCTGTGAGAAAACATACACCTATTCAGAGAACAGTTAAGTGTCGAAGCAAAGAAAGCCGGTGAACAACCATTCTATCATTCTGGCTAAGAGAGAACAGGCAACATTTATCACGGCTTCCAAAAATATTTTAATCTTTTTATTAGAAGTGTTCATATTTCCTGAAAAGCATTCTACTGTTGAATTATTTTAACAGCTATTAGAGGATAACAAACAAATCTTGAAAAAAATTAAGTTATGAAAACCAAAATTATCATAGAAAAGCCATGTGTCTCAATAGATAACAGATTTTACAGTGATACTCTCAAGGGGTAAGGACAGTGGGTGTTAGAGCTACAAAAGTTCATTAACAAAAGAATTTCTCTAATTTTATAACCAACCTTAAGAGGAAAGAATTACCTTTAGCACGTGTATTCACAGGCGGCAGAAAGATAATTCTTAAAAATCTGCCTTGGTGATAGTTTTTCTTTTAGTCGGTTCCAACAGAGAACTACAAAATAGCCAAGCTTTTCTGAAGAGATTGTGGCTTTATCTTAGATTTAATATACATTTATTTATTTACTAATAATTCAGGGGCTGGAAGAAGTCATATCATACACACATACTTAAGCACCAAATTTATCATAAATAGCTTTGACTTGGCTTATAACCCCAGGAGTTTAGAGGCACGCAGAAATGTCTTATCTCATCTGGTCTTAAGAAGTAGCATTGCTCATTGCCTGCATGAACACTACCCAAGCACTTCACACAGGAGACAGTCAGGACATTGAAAGAAAGGCCTTCTCAGCTCGCCTATCCTCAGCATAAAGCCCATACATGTTTTGTTTCCAGTGGCCTGCTCATACATTCCACATAGGGGCATCCCTTTTCTCTTCTGCTGAATTAAAAATTCAATCTGATCAATAATGATTTGAAATGCACTATAAGCTACAGGAATTCAGTTCATCAGAAACCTGCCTTTTTTATTCATTTCTCGCTGCATAATTTTGCAAAATAACTCCCAACCAGAAAATGATTTCAACCTACTGCCTGAAATGTACATTTATTTGCTCACTAGTGCAAGGGAAAAGCTGAGCTAAGTCAAGTAAGAGGCACGCACACATTCCTGGAAGGATAATTTTAGAACCTGTTTCAAAGCGGACTCTAATTCGAAATTGCCTCTGCCACTTAGAACCACACGGAGATGCTCCTAGCCTTATGAGATGTTATCAAGCGATTGAGTTTTGCCAGTGGTGGAAGTGGTCGCAAGCCACTGTGGCTTCCTTGCTGGGCGAGGAAAGAGAAGGAGGGGGCAGTTTATTAGAAATAGCTTCAGGAAGGATGCGATCACATCAGATGTACAAAGCCACGGGCTATTGATTGCAAATCTGGCAAGGCTGCAGGCCATTCTCATTGCAGGCAGGGCAGCGCAGGGCCCGATAGGACTCCTTAAATCTGTTGGCCAGCATGGAGAACTTGCTGCCGTGGCACAGAGAGCAGGTGGCACTGCCCGACCCTCGGCAGTGAAAACAGTTGTCCTCGGGAAGCTCCCCTTCCTGCAAGAGACAGGTCAGGGTTTAGTAACAGCAGTTCCAGACCATGGTTCCAAAACAGGGCGAAGCAGCACAGGGCTGCCCAACAGGCAGAGTACAAAATGCTTCCCAAAAATGCCAGTGCGGAAGCTGGCCAGAGGCATAGAATACTCACTGGAATTTCATCAGAGAGGATTTCCCCGATGAAATCTCTAAGGCAGCAGCCCCTGCTTTGCCTTTTGTACCTTTCCTTTCCTCGTCGCCCTTATCACCATCTGACCTGTGATTTCCATATGCTCTACCAGGATGAGGACTTATTCTTCCTTGTTGCCAAATACTAACAGCGAACACTTGTAGCATGCTTAGTAGGGGCCAGGTATGGTTCTAAGAGCTTTCTCTACATCCACCTATCTAATCCATATGCTATCCTGGTGAGACAGTGCAAGTACTAGCATCCTTCCTGCAGATAGGAAAATGAGAGACTGAGAAGTTCAGTTATCTGGCTGCGGTCCCACAGCCTGGAAGAGAGGAAGCAGGTTTTGATCCCAGGCGATGGAGCACCAGAGTTCCTGCTCCTCGGGATTATGCACACAGTCAAGAACTGTGAGAGACTCAAGGTTACAATCCTCTAAAGCTTAGCTCTGAATTCTTGCAGTACTTTGTTTTTTTTCTTTGAGAACTGTGATAAAGCCTAGGACAGCAATTAGGCACCTTGGACAGTTCCCTTGGCCGCTCTGAATCTTTGTTTTTCTGCAAAATGGGACTGGTAATGCTCACCACTCAGAGTAGATGCAATATGAAATGACAGAGTATATGAAAAGACCACAATATATTATCTGCCATCTTACAGATTCTCCATAAAAGTCAGTTCACTTCTAAGCCTTGCCAGTAAGTCTGGACTTACTAGTCCTTGACTCACATCTTACAGAAAATGCCCCGTCTACTGCCATGCTCCTTCCCTAAGACATCTCAAGGAAACTGGCAGACTCTATACTCTGCAAAGATTGTGCATAGACCACGAACCTTCCAAGAAATAAGGGGTGGTACCATATCAATAACAGGTGAATCCAGCACCAAGGCCTATCTATTTTACCTGCTAAACATCTCTCAAATCCACCCAGGTTTCTCCATCCCTGACCAAAATCCTAGTCCAGACGTCCACCAATTCTGGCATGGATCCAGAGTGGAGCCCTGCCTCTCATCTTGTGGGGCTGTTCTCCCCAATCCAGTTGACTCCTATTTGGTTTTAGATGTCAGGTTAGCAGTACCTACACCCCTGGCCCAGGAGGCCTGACCTGCCTGTACTGCCCCAAGCATGGCAGGTCTCATAATCTACTGGAAGCTTCTGCTGGCCACATGAGAAAGCTCTCTGTGTTAGTCCCTGTCACCATCACACCCAAGCCTTAAAGTACAGTGCCTGGCACAGTATCTGTCATTCACATGTTTGCTGAATGAATGAACAAAAAGTATCTACAGAACCCTTCCAATTCTTAAATTCTAGGAACTCACAAGATGGCTGGAGTCCACTGGGTGGCTTCATTCAGCCAACACAGCTCTCTTTTATAACTTAAGAATAAAAATAATCTTGAAAAGGGTGGCATAAGTTCTGAAAGTGGTTCCATTGTGCTACAAAGTACCTAAGAAGGCATTAAATTTCATTTATTCTAGATTTAAGGAACAGAAGTGATTACCCAACTGACAAAAACCTAAATGATGTCTATGCATCCTTTTGTTCATATTTATTGATTGCGGCCATATTTTGATATATTAACAATGGGAAAAGTTGTTTTCCTCCCTTAAAATGTTCAAAAGAGATGTATTTGCCAAAATTTTCTTTAAGCAAATTGCCACGGTCCTTTTGTTTCTGCCATATCCACATGTTTTTGTTTTGTACTGGATCCCAGTGAGATTTTAATGTTGCCAAAGGAAGTATAGTAAAATCCTACCATAATGCCATCCATGTCAACCAAAAATTAATTTGCACAGAATGCCAGGTTCAGATATTAAAAGATTAAGGAAACAACCTGGTGAGCCTGCTGCAGGGAAAAAAACAAATCATCGATCAAGTTTCCTCTACTATCATGTGGTTATATGATGAAGTATTAGAGGTATCACTGGAGTTTCTACTCTTACCCTGGGATACCACCCTCCTTCCAACCCTTGCCCTCAGCGTGCTGATTGGATCTTTTAATGAGTCATTAAATCAAGTGTTACTGAGCCTCTACTCTGTCCATGGCACGTGAGACGTAAGCTTCTGTCTTCCATTCCCTGGTTTTTAAATTCTTCTCAGAAAGCAGTAAGAGGACGTAGAACATCGCTGTACTGCAGAGCTTAGGTTCTAGAACCAACAGACCTAACCACCTCTTACTAACTCCACGAGCAAGGAAAGGGGCTCAGCTTTCATGGCAGACTCAAAGGCTTGGGTAAGCCTGAAGGAGCTAAGAAGCACCAATCTGGAGGCTGCTCAGCAGGCAGGTTAAGACGATATGATTGGTAGTCAGGTGGACTGGGCTTTGACCCCTGGCTCTGATGACCTCTGGCAAGTTACTTAACTCCTCTGTGCCTTGATTTCCCTAGCTACAGAAGAAGACTGCTAACAACACCTCCCTCAGAGAGCCCTCATGAGAATGGAGGAGCCTAACGCATGGAAAGCGCCGGGCATGGTGCCCAGCGGTCAGAGGCCCTCAATAAATGGCAGCTCTTATTATTATTACTTCAAAGGCAAGATCTTTATAAAGCATGAAGAAGCCCAGATGACTTATGGTCTCGGATCCATAGAACACACAGCCAGATTTTCCCCCTTCCGTCTTTCGCTGTGGCTCAATTCAATCATTCCTCTCCTTTTCTTGTACAGTTAATACAGAGGGTTGGCATGGTCTGGTTCTTAGCCTTGGTCCACTCTTTAATCAAGGTCCTCACTGCTTCCCTGTTCCATCTAACACAACAGAGAGTCTCCTGGTCGGAAGCGGCTCCTTGATGTTCTCCGACCCTCTTTTATACAATAAAACCTGTCTGGGCATTTATTGCACGAGGGATTTGGCAAACGAATAGCAATTTAAAACAGAGTTTAAGAGACAGGCAAGTATAGTATAGCCTTTCACAGCAACTTTCTGCTGCACACTTCTGTCCTAGTTTATAGTAGTAGAGCGAAAACACATGGGTCTCTCCAAACTGAATTTAAAGATAATTGTCACGTCAGGACTGTTGCTGCTTTTTTATTCAGGCCTGCAGCATGACCTGCATTTTATCATGCCTGGCTCTCTTCTGAAAATATATGCTCCAACATTACACAATTTTACAATCACAACATTACAGAATGGTGTGAAAAAGAGTAGAATTAATGAATTTTAAAGTGGGAAAGTAATGCTTTGGGTCACAATGTTTAGTAGTCCACCTGTTGCTCTGCTAGGTTCTGAACAACAAGAGAAGGCAGAAGAACAATACTTCCTACCAGCTGGCTCTCTGGTTCCGAATTCTAATACTCTTTCCACAAACATTTAACTAATATTTACTGCACACCTACTCTATGACAGGCTCTATTTTTATTTTTCATTTTTTTGACATGGGAACTCCTATGCCACACCCAACATAAATACGGCACCTGCCCTTGTGGAGAAAAATTCTAGTGGGTTAAAGTTAACATTAACCAAAGATTTACACAGGGAAATCTACGACTGCAACTGAAAAGGGGGTGAGGTGCTCTGAGGGGTCCAGTCTTGGATATTTCATCCTCCTAGAAGTGAGGGGAGGCCCCTCTAAAGAAGTGATGTCTCCATTGAGATTTCAGATGCTAAGGGCAAAACAGTGGGGAATCTGGAGAACATTCTAGGCACAAGGAAGTTGCTTCTGGCAGGAAAGGGCAAAGACCATATGAGTGGTAGCTAGAAGGGCAGTGTGTCTGGCAGAATGAGAAGAGATGTTTAAGAGGAGGCTAAAGAGGTGAACAGGCTATCTACTGTCTTATTCTAGGAAGTGAGAGGTCACTGAAGTTTGCAGTGGGGAAAAAGAATGATGAAGGGGAGACGTGATCATATTTGCATTTCAAAAATATCTTATCAAGTGTGAGATCAGGTTGCAAAGAGATATGAGCCCTTGTGAGCAGAAGTTTAATAAGAATCTTCTGCTAGAGTCTGGTCATGACCTTCTGGTTTCTGCCCTCTAAACCCTACCAGGGTAGAGACATCACTCACTATGAGGAAGTCCCTTGCCCATTTTGTCAACACCAACCCTGAGGAGGTGAGAGCTAGTCCCACAGTAAAGCTGAAACTCCCAAGGGATGGAAACCAAAGAGAGAGAAAATTCATTTCTGCTGCTATCCAAGATTTTACCCTCTTAGCTTAGATCCATCAAAATTGCTTTTCCCACTACCAATCCCACACTGTGAACTAATGAATATCATCATTCTACCCCTTCATCTGAGCATGTCTGAGCAACGGTTTCCAAGGTGAGGAGTCAGCACCTCTGAGAGGTGTGGGCAGAAAATCATTCTAAGTATTTCTATTTACTTTTTATCTTAAAAAGGCAAGAAATCAAGCTTCAGTCATACTTTCAAAAGAAAATGGTATGCTAATTTTTAATAAATTAGTTGCTACTGGCCTCTTCACTGGGTCAGGCAGTCCGCAGACAAATATAGGACCCAAGAAGCCCTGGAGCAAGCATGATGGAAACTGACCTCATAGCACGTAAAGTGCCAGTGGTGTCCCGGCTCATTCATTCACTTTGAGCATACCGCAGCATAAAGAATTTCCACTGTCCCTGGTCCAGCAGATGTACAGAGGATAGTGCTTAGTTTTAAGGAAACTAATCTCTACAAAACCCAGACACATGGCTTGATAAGATTCATTAAGGAAATTGGACTGAGGATAACCCCAATAACAGAAGCACAAGCAAACCCGTAAGAAAAAGACCAGAGCTGATTTTTTCCATCTCTGGAAGCTGTTCTATGCCACACTATATGCAGAGTGAAGACAATACATACCTAATCAGCTCTCAGAAGAAGTCACCAAAAACAACTAAAATCATGCATATTTGAAATATAGATGTAACTATTATTGCTAATCACATACCATTAAAATGTAATAAACTTAAAATTCCCTGACATTTTTTAACAGTTAGACATCTAAAGTATTTATATAGACGTTTTCACTTAAGTAGTGCACAGTCAAAACCATGTGGAGACCACTGCTGTAGGGCCAATTCCAAGGAGGACAGTGAACCACTCTGACACACCTGTGGGTACTGGCTATGGGAGAAAGTGCTTTCCGCGTCTGGCAAATGCCCATCGTTCTGGTCACGATCTCCATAGATTTCTTCTTTGCTCACCAGAGACTCTTCCTCAGCCTCTTCTTCCTTCTGGAGAATTTTCCTCATGAAATCTCTCTTGTCCATTGGGGTTCGAATGATTTTCAAGTTATTCGTGTAGATGATGATCTTTCCAAAATCTATAATAGGTGAAGACTAGAGAAATGGAGAATGAGCATGGTGACTTACCAGCAATCACGACATACAGGGCTGCAGAACCTGTTCAACATCCCGGGAAACAGGGGACAAAGAACCTGTCTAGCACTTAGAATTCCAAAAGTCCCTAAAGCTACAATTCGTGCCCAGGTTTGCTGGCTCTCTCTAAAAGCCCTGAAAACCAGCTTCCTTCTCCCTGTTGATGGTAAACAACCATAGCTGAACAAATCCTATGACGGGGCTGTAAGACTCGCACGGCCGGAGCCGAAGCTTCTATTCCCATTATATATCACAGTAGCTAAGGCAGAGCTGGGCACAGCAGGTGTTTTATAAACACAGAAGAGTGCTTAAAAAAAAAAAAGTTCTCCAAAATGTTTATGTATAAATGATAATATTAGATAAAATTTACTGAATTATTATTTTACTCTAGTGGATACCATTTTTTTCGTGTCAGACATCATGCTAAGCGTTTTACAAACATTACCTCACTTTCCCCTCAAACACCCCTTGAGGTGGATGTTATGATTTCTACATTTTATAGATAAGGAGACTGAGTCACAGTGGGGTTAAGAGCCTCCTAAAGCTGCAGACTATATGATCCAACTATATGATATCTAGAAAATACAGGACTAGGGATACAATAATAAGATAAGTGATTGCCAGTAAGAGTGGGGGAGACGGGATGAATAGCCAAGTGACAGAGGATTTTTAGGGCAATGAAAACACCCTACAGGATATTATAAGGATGGATATATGTCATTCTTCATTTTGTCTAAAACCACTGTATGTACAACATCAAGAGTGAACCCTTAGGTGAACTTTGGACTTTGTGTGATTTTAACGTGTCAATATAGGTTCATATTGGTAGGAAGAGAAAATGTACTATTTCAGGGAGTGATGTTGATAATGGGGGAGCTTATGTATGTTGGAGGCTAGAGTGTATATGAATAAAATCTCTATTTTCCTCTGGGAAAAAAAAAAAAAAGAGCCTCCCAAGGTTATCAGTGGGTGGGATTCAAACCCCAGTCTAACTCTAAAGCCCATATTTTTAACACCTACACTGCACTATTCACAAGCATTTTCCCCCCAGAAAACCTGTAAAATCATTATGTATACAATGATCATATATATATACAAATATATATATATATATATATATAGAGAGAGAGAGAGAGAGAGAGAGAGAGAAGTGATCTTACATATATGTAATGATCTTATATATGTAATGTTTTTATTATCTGTATAATACGTTAATCTTTTTAGGTCAATAAATATATTTCTGCAGCATCATTACTAATAGCTTATGTTCCTTTACGTGGATTTTTTATGTATGACTTGGTAATTTGCTGAGGAATAATTTAGGCAATACTACAATGCAGCAGAGAAGCATGGAGGAGGAAATGTTTGGGGATTATTTAACTAAGAACCCAGAGATAAGAAAGCTTGGCAACAAACAAGACCAATCTTAATACTGCTGTTCACCAATTGTGACATACAGGAGAGTCATCTGGCCTCTTAGAACCTCACTTTGCTCATTCCAAATGGGGTGACATCTAACTGGTGGGCATCACCACAGACAAAATCATTATGAAATCAGGAATGCCTTGGGGCGCCTAGGAGGCTCAGTTGGTTGAGCGTTCGAACTGCTGAGCCCTGTTCAGGTCGTGACCTCAGGGTTGAAAGATCGAGCCCCGAGCTGGACTCTATGTCCAAACTGGAGTCTGCTTAAGGTCCTTTCTCCCTTTCCCCCTGCCCTTCGCCCCCTTCAAGCACATGCACACACCATCTAGAAAACAAAACAAAAAACAGGAATACTCGGATACTGGGTGGTAAGCAGGTGCTGTCCTGCGACTTCTGTGTGCCCTCCTGTCGCCCACAGCTCTCTTTAGGGAGCCTCTACCGTCCCCAAACCCAGTAAGTAGCCATTTATGCTTAGGAGCCCAGGTCTCAGGACCCCGTCCCAAAGCTCTGCTGGCTTCTGTGCTGACAGGGCAATGTTCCTGGGGTGCAAGATTTTGATGCTCATCCCTGAGGCTAATTATATCGATCTCTAGGGGTGGAAGTGCAATGAAGAATATATAAAACAGGGATTTCAAAGCTAAAGATACCATGCAGGGTTGTTGCTGTTGCTGGTATTTAAAACTGTTCATTAGTACTGCGTGCACAATCATGCTGCACAGCTAATAAATACGTTGGCGCCAAATATTCTGCCTGCATTTACAAAAGTGTGGAAACCAAATTCACTGGGATGCCACAACCAAGCAGTCTCCTATATACAGCCATAACACATTCAGTCGCAACCTGGCTAAAACAGGACTTCAGTACTGGGATCCCCTTCCTTGGAACACGCAGAGAGTTTTCTATCACATTATTTATGAAGCCAGGAGCTTCCTACTTGGCCCTGTTTTCTCTCCCTCTCTTCAAGGGATCATGTGGCAGCTTCCCTTTCCTATTGTTTGATGCACACTGGGTTCCTGTTTCACACTCTGGACTATCAGTTTCTGAACATCAGAAGATAAAGATGGTGGCACTTTTAGAAGGTTCCATTTCCACTTCCACTAATAGCCAAAGAGGTTTAGTTACTAGGGAGCTTTTTTTCACATGTAGAACTGGTTTTTTCAAAGTGAAACTCTTAACCCACTGGAAAAGAAATTGTGGTCATCTGGTCCAACCTCCTGCCTCTAAGCTGGTCTGTATCCGAGATACCCAAGATAGTACATTTATTTTTAATGTACTTGAAAGGAGGGGGGTCCCAAATCACCTGTGAGGTGTGTTTATGTTTCAGTCACCCCGACAGCGAAGTTCTTCCTTGTGTCTAAGGAAACCCTCAAGGCGTAACTAAAGTTCACATTATCTGGTGACAACCAGTTGCCCATGAGGAACACACATTCTTGCATTACAGAGGGCCAGGACGAAGCCATGAATTTTTGTGTTTCCTTCCATAGTGCCCAGAATGGCAACTTGAGTGACTGAGCTTCATAAGTGCTCTGACGTCCATGGCCACATGCCTGGAGACTCCTATTCGGGCACCATGACACCTTTCCGCTTAAAATAACAGGGACGCCTTCCTGAGTTCTAGAAATGCAAAAGGCTATGGAGGCAGGCAGGCCTGAGGTCAATTTTTCTGTGCAAGATTTGCAAGTTACCAAACCCCATGTGCTATTTTTCCAATTTGTAAAATTCTCAAAGAACTGCCTTGAAAATGCAATGACATATATACAAAAGATGTGTTCAGTAATATGCCATGTCCCTTCCTTCCCTTCCATTTTTTTTAAATGAAACTTATAAACTTCAAATGGTTTCAATTCTTTAAAATATTTATTTGTTTATAACTACTTTCTCTATCATATAAAAAATTTTTTTAAAAGACTCAGTATTTCTTTGATGAGAACCTGGTCATTATCACAAAGGTAGGGATTACTTACTTGCTAAGCACATCCAATGTTACAGGTACAATGCTGAGTGATTCTTACATATAATCTTTTTTTAATCACCACAACAATCTTCATAAGTAGATACTTTTATTTACTCTCATCTCATAGAAAATGACATTGAAGCACGACAAGATTAAGTGGTCTGTCAAGCTCCCACAGTAAGTAGGCAAGGGGACAGCAAGCCCGGGTTTAAAAGACATCAGAGCCCCTGCCCTTTTTTTTTTTTTTTTTAAGATTTTACTTATTTATCTGAGAGAGACTGAGAGAGAGAAAGAGAGAGAGCACAGGCAGGGGTGGAAAGGCAGAGGGAGCAGAAGAAGCAGGCTCCCTGCCGAGCAGGGTCCCCAAAGCAGGGCTCAATCCCAGGATTGAGACCTGAACCGAAGGCAGACACTTAACTGACTGAGCCACCCAGGTGCCCACGCCTGCTTTGTTAAAATGATTATTTTTACTGTGGTAAAATACATAGTACATGAAATTTACCACTTTAACCACTTCTCAGTATACAGGTCAGTGACATTATTATGTTCACACTGTTGTGGAGCCCTTACCACCAGTCACCCCCAGAACTTCTTCATCTTCTCAAACTGAAACTATATCCCCATTAAGCTCCCACTGCTCTATTTTCTGTCTCTATAAATCTGGCTATTCTAGGCACTTCACATAGATGGAATCATATAATTATCTTTTTATGACTGGTTTATTTCACTTAGCATAATGTCTTCAAGTTTCATCTGTACTGCAGCTTGTGTCAGCACAGCCTTCCTTTTTAAGGCTGAGTAATATTCAACTGTGTGTATATACATTTTATTTGTCCGTTCATCTACCGATGGACATTTGGGTTGCTTCCACTCGTGAATAACTGTGAATAAAGCTGCTATGAACACTGATGTACAAACACCTCTTCAAATGTAGAGCCTTTACTTATAATTGTTGTGTTTAACTGCTACCCAGTGTTGCTTCATAACCAATATTTACTAGGGTTTATTTTATAGTTGAATTCACTACTGAAAAATCATGGCTTTCCAGCTCTCATTTCCTTAAGTTTCATAAATACCATACTGACAACCAGTTTCAGTGGGCGGAGCTGCAAGAATCCATCCTGACCCCCTCTCACCCGGAGACTGGCTAAGATTGGGAGGTAGCATTTGGATCAGGCAGCAAAGAAAATAAGGATAACTGGATCAAACAGGAAACCTGATCAAGCAGGAATCAAACTCTGAACACGGTCTCCAGAGTACTGTGTTTAAACAACGTTGTGGTGCTGCTATGAAGACTCAGTTGTCTGGTTTTATAAGTCCTTACCAAATCATACATATACATAAGTCCCAAGTTGGACACAGGACTTGTAAAGGTCAGGTGGCCAAATTATCTACCATAGCCTGCACAAGGTCTGTATAAACCACAGCTTTGTAAAGTCTAAACATACAGGTAAGATTTAGTTTCAAAGAGATACTGTAAGTACAAGATATAGCCAAGACCCTAGGATATAATAATCACTTGGTAAATGGTAACTATTACTATTAACATTACCATTAATATTAATGGTGAGAATAGAATTGAAATAAAAAGAATAATTTTAGAGAATAAAAAGGAACATCCCACACAACCAAAAGCATGAGGAACCAGAAGATCTGGGTCCTTATTCTGACTTTGAACCTAATGACTCTCTAATACTGGGTAGATCCCTTAATAACTTGGCACTCAGTTTTCCTCATCTGCAAAATGGGAATGACCGTAGTTTGCCTTTCTCCTCCAAGCTGCGGTAAAGACCCAAGGACAAACTATGTGAAACTGCTTTGTAATGCATAAGTTGCTCCACTAACATGTTCACTCCAGCCCCTTTTATTATCAAAAAGAAACCTGGTATTATCTCTGATCAATGTGGACTCCCATAATTACACTTTTACCAATGTCAGAAAGGCCAGTGCATTTGTCTGTATAGACGAATTATCTGTTCCCTTAGGAAACTAACAATAAAAATGATTAGAGAGTAATTATCTGAATTTTACACTTTAAAGATGAGAGCATATCCTGGTGTACTATTCATTAATAACCTGACACATTATATAACTGTATTTAATATAAAAGAAAAAAAGGCATTCATGGTCCCAATGGCAGCCACATACACATCTCCTTTTCATTTTTAGAAATCAGTGACTATTTTCCAAGTTCTTCTAGCTTCAAAGAAAATCATGTAGGGGCTTTTCATTATCCATGGTACTGGGGAAGAGAACTGAAATTAAGAGATAAAATACACATTTCAATTGAACTATTAGCTCAAACTTCTTCCCCAAGTAACATTTCCTCTGTTTGACATGCTTTTCGCCATTTCTTCCCAGGATTCCAACCACTCAGTGTTCACACTAATGAGCAATGGAAAGGCAAAATAAAGAAACAAACATTTTTTAAAAGCAGGCAGCAGGAGGGGGATAGGAAATAAAGTAAGACATGGATAAACCACAAGCTGAGTAACTGGCTGGAGTGAAATGAGCACCTTTGAATACTCAGCTCTTTCAGGAAACAAAACAACCAGTTGTCGCCTAATTTTCTAAAACGCAGTCTGGCAAGCTGAAAACCACGGCATCTCTATTTAATTTACTTACCAAGATAACCCAGCCAATGGCCCAATTACAATTTACTACCCTGGATGGAACTGAATACTGTACATGCTCATTGCACTTTCCAATAAGGAGGCAGCAAGCATGCTATTTTTGTCCCAGAAATATTATTCCAATAGCGGCTTCCGATTTGGAGCACCTAGAGCTCTGGTTGGTACTGGAGCATGAGCAAGATAGAAATTTGAATCAGTTAGGTGTTTTCCTATATACGTTTCAGTCCTTAAAGTTCATACACCATGCACAATACCAACCTTATGGTCATTCGCCTTGTAATCATTGAAGAAAGGCTGGCTGCCCGCCAAACTGTAGGCGTTGCCCTCTCTAAACACGCTGATCCTTTGAGCAGTCAGCTTAGGGGAGTATGGTTGGGGCTTGGGGGCTTCCCCAGACCCGTAAACACCATCCACCGGTTCAAGGGACTCTTGGAGAAAACTGTGAGGGTATTCCTCCTTTGGCGACTCTAATTCCTGCCCATCCTCAAAGACCTGCTTCAACACTCTGCCACTGTAGGAGGAAGAGATTTTAAATCGTACTTTCCGTGGTTTGCCGTCACTCTTCTGGTTCAGCTTCTTCTCAGGGTCCTCCATCAGTAGAAATTTCACCCTGTGGTTTGCAGGCTTCAGTGTGGCCAGTAAAATTTGGGGCTCTGAGGAAAAGGCATTTTATTTTCTCTCCTCTTGCGTATAATTAATTCAAGTTGGTGCTGGGGTGTGCTCAGTTTACAGCAACTGACACCCACACATTAAATATTGATAGACCCTCATGCCAACGTAGGCGATTGTGGGTTTACAGAGCGGACGGAGCACAGTGTAAGACAAGATTGGGTCCCCTTTGAATCCTAAACTCCCCCATAACTTCACCCCCAACACTGGCTTTTCCTAACTTGAGCAAGAGTAGATTTATTTAGACTGAACAAGTATCAACTCAATAAGGCTCAGTTACTCCATCAGCTAGCAAAGGTCTTATTTTTATTCTTACAACAACAATGACCCAGTGAGCACTTAATAGGCACCACAGATTTTTGCGTGCATCGCCTTACTTGGTGCTCACAATAAGCTGACATTGGAAGTGCACTGAGCCCTGCTTTACAGGGGGAGAGAGAGGCTCAGAGCACTTGCTCCATTTGTCTATTCTGGTGCAGCTAGGGTAAGAGACAGCAGGGGTTAGAATTCAGTTCTAACCCTCAAAACCACAGTCAGTCCATTAAGCCAAGAGTTTTCAAACCGTGTTTCCCAGAGCCCTAGATAGGAGGGAACCACAGATCCTGGATTCCAGGCCTCCACCTCTGTATGAATCAGAGAGGCTACATTTCCTCTATACTTTATAGATAAGATTTTATTTGCAAGTGCAGCACGAGGCCCCGCTGCCTACTGTAGACAATACTGAGTAAAGGTCTGACAGGGTGCACTAGCTGCTGGGATGAGTATCACTGAAGTGTGAGTTGTGGGGCTTGTGAATGACAGTCCTGTAATCTGGTTCAGGAAACACACCTAACACATACAAAATAACAGCCTCCTGCTTGCAGCAAACTGTCTGACTCCCACAATACGTATTCTGGGGAGAGAGTGGTCCCTAAGGGAACAAGGATGCAAAAAGGCTTGAAAAGGAATGGACACATGAGTAAAGTCTAAAAGGAGAGATTGGATTTGAAGAGCTGAAATGGTGGGGTTGAGCCTTTCTCCCTGTTTTTGTTAATGATTTCATCACTCACTCCATTGCCCAGACTGACTTGTCTTGTACTCTTGCCGCCATTGCTATGGATTCTATGACCACTGCATTCTTTCATCCACCCCACCAACCTGACCCCAGGTCAAGCCCTCATCACTTCTGTTCTCAAGATTGCAACAATCTCCTCATGACCTCCCCATCCAACCAGTCTCAACAGGGAAGCCAGAGCCATGTTTGAAAAAACTGCAGATGTCAATCTCCTTCATAAAAGGTCCTAGCCTTTCTGTGAAGCAGGCAAAGTTCCCCAAAACTAACCGTACCATCATTTCCACCCTCATCCTCTGTCACTCTTCTAGGTGCTGCCTGAAACTGGTATTCCAGGCACAGTAACAAGCTCACCTGTTTCTTACAACCACAGGTTTCTGTCTCTTATCCAATGCTGTGTTTCCTGACCGAAATGTCAAGCCTTCATTCCTCCTCCAAGCTACACCTCAAATGTCACTGCTTCTGGGAAGTCTTCCCACTTGCCCCAAGTCAAAAGCCATAGAACTTTGGATCAAGGACCATTAAGCGCTTCTTGCTTTCTCTGACCATTCCTGGGTTTCCCTCCACTAAACTGTAAACATTTTAGACTCAGAAACTGCCTTTACCATTTCTCTATCCCCAGTGCTTATCAAAGTACCTGCATAAAATAACTCAGTTAATAACTGCTGAGTGAATGACTCCAGGTAAGAAAAATCAAATAAATCAAACTTTTGGAATAGGGTTGAGCATATTTTATGGAGAACAGGTAGGATCAGAAAGTGGTCAAGAAAAACATTTGTATTTCCACTAAGGAGCAGTTTCACAATTACAAGTTCCTACATAATCAACATAAGGAATAGGTTACACACACACACACACACACACACACACAAATTGCATTTTTTGAAAAGAAAGACATGCTCATCATAACATCAGAATATACATCCTTCTAGGCTTCCTAGGGTGCACAGCTGGCCCTGATGTACCTTGAATGCATTATAGGAGGCTGACACATGGCTCCTTCTGCCCTCAGGACAACCAGGTAGGGCCCAGGCTTCCAGGTGGCCATCCCCGACTACATTAGCCTCATTCACTGTGTACAGAACGAATATCATTATCTTATAGTATTTGAGGAAAAAAATTGATTTGAATCAAGCAGCACCAAATCAGAAGTGTTCAGGAGTACTCCACCAACAGGAGCACAGAGAGAGACTTTTATAGAAAAAAGGCAGAAACAAAGTCAGGAAACTATTGATTGGCTATTAGTGACCGTCCGCCCTGAGTGTTTTGACTTCATAACCATGAGGTGCGTATGGGCTTAGATTTTGGGTTATACGGATTATACAGGCTGCCACAGCATTAAAGCCACATCAGTTTAAAGGCCTCCTTGTTTAATTAATTTAACAGTTCCCCCATTTTTGTCATCCTCTGATACTCAAAAGATTGACCAAACGCCTGGTATTAGTGTGATTCTCAGTCACCATCAATACTAAGTCGCTCTTGTCTCGTTATGGAACTCATAGGGAATGACATCAGATCCATTGAAGAATGGTCTTTGTGTTCCTCTCATTGTTCATCTTGTTTGTTTCTCCAAGGACAGTGAGACCACACAAGGGAGACTATCATTTGGAGGGTAACACTAAGAAACTTAAATATACTCATTAGCCAGGTTACCCATGAACCATGCCAGTTAGTATCAAACAAATTTTAAAAATGCACCTAAAAGGGCATCAGCCTATTTTCCCAGGCAGCATACTTAGTTGTTGCTACAATACCAGAAGTATCGATTCAGGTACAGCAGGAGTTATTTGCTATGGCACAGACTCTTCTTTGTTCAGCCAGTAAGTAATCTAAAGCAATTCTATTATCTAAAACCACCTTCGCAGGAAAGTCAAGGGACTTTTACTGTGCAGCTATGGCCTTACTGGTACCTTCAGTGAGAGTTACCAGAATTAAGAAGCACTACCCTCCTGTACATTAACAGAAAAAACAAATAGGAAAAAAGCAAAAAGATGCTGGAGATGAAGATCTTCATCTGTGAACTTGGAAGAGCTGTCCACTCGAGATGCCATCTGCTTCTGAGGAGTAACCTCCCTAGTCAGTTTTAATTTTAGATCTCTAGCAGATGTGCAATTCCAAGAGTCTTAAGTCTTTTTAACTGGGAGATATGGATCCAAGATTCAAATTCCTGAAGTTTGACTTACGTATGGTAGCGAGGAGGACCTGGTATAGACTCTTCCAAGAAAGGGTTAAGGTAGTCTTTCTTTTCAGTGATTCCAAATCAGAGGGATGAGAGAAAATTGGAAACTTTAGTATGGACAGTTGTAGGCACTAGAATTCAAGATCCATTTCAGCTTATAGGTATATAACAAAGCCCTCAGGACAATAAACAGGACTAGAATCTGATGTCTACACATTTGTGTATAATATCCTAAAAACAAAATTTTTTTCCTCTACGATCACCCTCATCTCTATCAAAGATCATCACAGTAAGACTAATTTGTTTGCAAAATAAGTCTAGTCTCATTAGATTTGGCCTGATTATTCACATAAGTGCAGCAAGCATAGTGATCAACCAGATAGGCTCTTTTTAAATCTTTTTGCTGAAACTTTTCATAAGGACTCTTAGACTGGACTGTTAAAAGCCTCTCCAGACTAAGAAACCAAGCCAAGAACTCACCATCAGACTTCACCTGACATACCTACAGATCTGCATGAATTCTCCCGTTTGAAGGTAATCTGAGGGTTTCTGAGGAGCTGCCCAGAAGCTTCCATTACCCACTTGGTAAGTTTACAGGGAACCCTGAAGCAAGGTATTGGGCTAGTTTATCCAAGGGGTTTTTATGGGTTGCATGATGTCAAACTTAGCTCCTTCAAACTGTCTGGTCATATTTGTTTTTCTTTTCTTTTCTTTTTTTTTTTTTAAGATTTTATTTATTTATTTGAAAGGAGAGAGAGAGAGAGAACAAGTTGGGGGAGGTAGGGGCAGAGGTAAAGACAGAGGGACAAGCAGATTCCCTGCTGAGCAGGGAGCCCGTGTCTAGTTTTATTTGACTATATACATATTCTCAAACATGATATTCCAGTCAAAGCTTTGGTAATATAACCAATGTTTACAATTGTGTCCTGCTATAAGGAGAACAGATTCTATTGAACTTATGCAAATAACTATATTGCCATGAAAATAAGAATACTCAAAAAATTTCTGAATTCAGTAGGGATCAGATAGGAAGAAAAAGTAAATGTTTCATTTCTGTTTACAAAGGTATACTTTACAAAATTACTATAAGTCATAGATAGCTTAAGAGAAAAGAGAAAAAGCTTTCCTTAAATCTGGAAGAAAACAAAACTAAGGAAGCAGCAGTGTTTCAAAGAAACAGTTGTAAAAAAAATTACAATCGTTTTCATCAATTCATTCAATTCCACGTTAATAATTTTCGTTCCACTTGAATCCAGTTTTTCCTTTAGTTCTGGAAATTCTTTCCCAATTCAGTTTTATGATCTTAAAGTAATCAGAAACCTATATTCAAAAGTACTTATCAGACTCCTTTCTACGAATCTTTCTGAAGATGGAGCACCTTTGCAAAAACATCAGAGTAAAGTAGTAATTGTCTGTAAATGACAAAAAGACTTAACCAAACAGCCATGGTAATAGATCTGAAGAGAGTTCATCTGACAAGGAAATGTAGTTATTTCTGTTGCACCAATAATTTAGGCTGATAGTTGGACAATATGAGAATACTGACAAATTTCTAGCAACTTTAAACAATTTCTGGAATACAGATATTAGTAACAGACATTCATACACATATAACCTAAGAAGGTTTATCATCACTTATTTGACAGTGCTTCCCACATAATTTAACAGACCAGATAACCCTAATTAGTTTAACAT